GCTATCACCATGTAATCAATTTGCACCGATTCCTGCAAAAGTTGAAACAAAGGCTCCTTGCAATAAGTCACAGTAATTAGCGATATGCACCGAGGTGCGCGGGCGCACGTGTCAACGGCCGCAGGTGTGCTCGTGTCATTGGCCAATGCCTGCCATTGTTCTGCATCTCCCCCACAAGCCCGCCTTCACACCCGCGCACTGACTTCATACACCCTGATTAAAATTACCTTTGAAGTCATTAAATGCTTTGAGTGGCACTGCAAGGTGAGATGCGTCTATTTTTAAAGATGATATGTTGACGTTGAAAACAGTTCTCAGTGTTCGTTGAATGCATAACCGTATATCATAGCTTCCTGTTTTTATTATATATAAGTGTGAAGTGTAGTTTAACGCCTAGAACGATAATTAGGATCACTATTGTCATATACGTTTATCTCTAATTGAATAATAATGGATTAATCATTTCAACGAGAGAAAATGTTTTCTCAGACGGAGGACATTAATTGTGACTGTCAATATAACGCAGAAAAAACTTGCTATTGAAATAGTTTTAGTTAATTAACATGTTAATAAACGAGTCTGACCATATTGCGTGATCGTACGCGTGGTAAACATACAATTAGAGCAAATAAATAATTTAGAATTTTGCCCATACCATATAATGTCAATCGTAAATTTTTGTTGCGATGGCGGTTGGTCAACAGAAAAGTTTGACAATGTCAATTATTATGGATTGCCATGGCTAAGATGTCTAAGTGGATTTCATAGAACTAAATGCAATAATACTAATAGTTGGACATCACCGCGATGTGACGGTCACCGCTCTCCCATATTAGAGCATTACCCTGATTTACGACATTCCCCGTCGACCCCCGTATGTCTCGGATACCGCACGCAACTATCGATCGATTCGCGAATAGTCCCCCAAAAACATTCCTCGTATTTGAACAATGTGATATATTGAGATCGAAATGGAAAATTCTGGCTACGGAAAGTAATTTGTCGGGGTGTCAGTCACACTCCCAAGTCAATTGTAACTCTCTAAGGTAAAGCTTTGTGTCAATGTCAAATGGTAAAGATATTTTAGGAAATTTAAGAACACGGCTTGCTCGCAACCGGTATATTGTGGGGTTGGTTGCAAACGAACCGTGGCTCAACTACTTTTGCGTCACTTCCGGTGTGCAACAATCGTTATTTACGATTATTACGTGTAGCCTGGTATAATGCCGACTTACAACTTGTACAAGGTGTAACGTAAAGGTCATAATTTGCTTCTGCTACTGATTGTGATCATAATAACATTACTCTAGTAAGAAGAAGTCTGAAAACCTGTAATTTGGTTTTCTCTACAAATCTCCAATTAATCAAACGTTTGTTTATGAGATTTTTTTACTAAAGTAATTGTACAGGGTGAATTAACTTCATCTCAACGAAATATCACCTATATAAATGTGATGTTTTTTTTTAAATCGAAGTAGCTCTAAACGAATTTAGCTGTTAATAAATCTTATTTAACGTTACGTTAAAATGTTGCTATTAAAAAATGTTTTACTTTTCCACGAAATAGACAGGAAAAGTCTAGCACGAAATTGAGGTAGACTTTACCTGGAAATGTTACTAATATTCTAAGAATCCTGAGATACGGGATTTTATTTTAATACCCTTTATTACTTACTTCGCACTCTTATGGAGATTAAATTGTGAAAAATTTAGGGTGTAGACACACAAACTGCATTCCAACGGATACTGCGCGCTGGCTGCATAAAAAATGCGGACTGACAATGCAGCTGGTGTGCCTGCACACTTTGGACCTTGCACATTGTGCACACTGATGATTAGCACTTAGATTTGATACAGAAACTAAACTTATATTGCGATTTTGTTGAATTAAACAAGATATTGATGGAGGTGATATTGCAACAAGCTCGGTGATGGCAGCAACAAGCACAATGGTAGCAGCAATTTTAAGTAATAAATTTAATCATGTTGTGATTGATTCAGTTAAGAAGTTTAATAATGTTATGATTGATTCAATTAATAACTCTCCAATATTCGCTTGATTCAGTATTTTTCTTTTCAGTGAATCTTAATGACACGAATGCCAAATGTATCATAAAAAAACTTCTTTGTATGGCTAAGTCTGAAACACTTGGAAATCAAAGAACTATTTTTGTGAATTGATTTCCAATTCTTATAGTTCTTTCTCCCTAAGGCCAAGATATTTTTACACCAAACCCGCTAACACGGTTTGGAATTCTATATGAATGTGTTCAGGTTTCAGAGTAATGATAGCAATTTTTCATTTATTATTTATTTTTATCATTAGGCATTCAGACTACAGCCTGTAATGGTTTCACCAGTCTATAAATATATGCTAACTTGTCTATGGCCATGGTTTTCACAGGAATTATAACAAAGTATAATGCCAATCGCCTTTATTGCAATGGTAACATGTATTCTGCCGTCGTAACGAAAAAAAGGCATAACTATGTGTAATTTATATGACAGTTGTGCCCTTTTTCGTTCCGAGGGCAGTATTATGTATTTTCACCAAAATAATCAAGTTCGGTGTCTAAAAATCAACCTTATTACCAAGAGTTTGAAGTGCTCTTTGGATCTAACTGAAATTTATCTAAAACAATTTGGAATTGCGGCTTTAGTATCATCGAGTTTCGGCCGATTTTTGTCAAATGCTCTGATATTTTTTAACATACGCTCTGATCATTTTAAGGCTGACTGTGCGTTATTATTTTTGATATAGCTGAATCTACGCATTTTGTACCATATACATCGCCATTTTTTGAAGTTAAATCGAACCAGTGAACAGTTTGAACAATCTCTTTTGATGTTTATTGGCATTCTCATCGAATAACACGTAGTACAAGATAGAATTGAGGTATAATAGCGCGGTTATAAAACGCGTTAACCGGGAGCGTAATGGAAATAGTAAATTGACCAATCACATGCGCCGACGACGCTATGCGTGCGCGCGCACCTGTAATTGAACGTGTTCCGCGGATCGTGACTGAAGGAAAGAGTGCATTTTTTCCGCTAGTGTACGCAAAGACATCTGGTGTCTATTCCAGTTCGCATGATGCGTTTTATTGCTGCAGATTGCATATTTTACGTCAAACTAATATTCTTCTTTTACTTCAATATATTATTATTAAAAATACCTGTCTGCTGTGGAGCTGTTGCAGGAGATGGTAAATATTATATATGGTGCTTTACAAAGGAAAAAATGAACATTAATGTGAGTAAGACGAAAGTAAAGGTTTTTAAAGAGAGTTAGATATGACGGGTTGCACTATATTGATTGACGGAAAGAAAGTGGAACAAGTGGAAGAGTTTGTGTATTTGGGTTGCATGTTTACATGTGATGTAAGATATGAAAGTCACATTGAAAGGAGAGTGAACACAGGGAATCAGGTGAATTGTGCGTTGCATGCCTTTATGGGCAGCCGGGAAGTGTTTAAATAGGCACTGGTTCCTACACTTAAGCATGGTAGTGAATGTTGGGTTTGGCTGAAGAAGTACGAAAGTAGAATTAATGCAGTAGAAATGACAGCTTTGTGAAATATGGCTGGCAAATTGAGGCCATCCTAAAGAAGGGCCAGGTTAAGAGTACTCTTCACCGACGAGCGTGTATGAAAGCACTGACGCGTGTTGATGAGGCGAAAGACGTGTAGTAGGACCGTAGCAAGTGGAAGACTGTTGTCTCTGCATACCCCAATGGGGAAAAGGCGCGAAGTAAATGTACATATGTCCTGTCTGTAAGAAAGGAAAATAATTAAATTGTTTAGCCTCTGAAGATTCTTAACTTAAACGCAGATGAGAGTTATATAAAACCGGGCAACACATAAAACCATGGCGTCTATTTAGGGAGGATTGTATGGATCAGCGAGCAATCTAGCTGTCGTAACTCGGACTCCTTTGTCCTGATCGCAATCTCCATAAACCAGCTAAACACCTAGCCGAGATTCCCCTCACGAGGTTCCCCACAGCAGGCGGGGTGAAGAGGCGCGAGGGAGGCAACCGCCTCCTTTAGTTACCCGGGAGTTAAAGTGCCTTATGATTTCGCAACTCCGTTCGCAGACGACTTAGGTGATCGCACTCTTTTATTAATCCATAAAACCCGACTTCGAGGCTGTAAATGTTGACATCAAATGGATTAATTATTTAGATTATTCCTTGTTTTTTTTGCAAATGTTTAAAATGCATTAAAACGTTTTTGTTGCGATGAACGAGGCGAGGTACCGCGCTACGGTAATGGCCATTTTATCTTTGTTTCGCAACTGCTTTGACAACCTTCAGCTTTTGGTCTTAAGGGATTAATATCGAGTTAGACCTGTTGTAGACGAGTTGCGCAGTTGGTTTTTTGCAGTTTAGGGTCAGATAAACAATATTTAACCTAACTTTTATATTATGGCACGAATGTCAAGATTGTAGCAAGTGGCAAGCTGCAGTCTCTGCCTTCCCCGATGGGAAAAGGGCGTGAAGTGTATGTTATGTATCTATGTGGTTAATAAGTTTTCTTTGAAATATCAGGTACGAATTCTTTTTCTATGACGGGATCCGTCCTATCTTAATGGATTATTCATGAGTCTTGTTAATCGACCGTATATTTCTTTATCTGCCGATTTAAACCAACTGACAAATGCAGTTAAGACCCGTTACCAACTTTCCGAATGGTAATGCCACACGTTTAGAATGTAAGAGAAATAATCTTTAAATGAGAAAGGAAACTGAAGTTCACATAAACGAATAGAAAAAAAATTGTATTGTGCATTTTTTTTAATTTCGATTTTTTTCTATAAAGATTGAATGTAAGATTTATACTAAATTGATATTAAATGAACTAGTATTTATTTATTTGAATATTATATATTTGTTCCGCTAAATGTGTGTTCCGCCGGCGTGTTTACTTTGGCACGTTATTATTATTATAAACAATTTGTGTAATGAAACATAGTGCTTATGTTGGCAACGTTTGTCGACAGGTCTGCCATCATCACGGCGAGAGAGCGAGTTCAAGAAGCCGTCTCACGCCCCGCAAAATGGACGAGTACACCATCGCCCCTATACTTACAACAAGGTACAATAAAACTACTCGTAATATAATACTATTAAGTTGTACTAACCTAACCTAAAGAAGAGAAGCCGTGGTAGCCTAATGGTTGTGACCTACCGCTGTCAAGCAGAGACCGTGAGTTCGAATCAGGGCTCGCACCTCTGACTTTCTAAGATTACGTTGGAAATTTCGAACTTTTTCGTAACAGCTCCATGTGAAAGAGTTCGTCTAGGGAAATTCTGCCACCTTACCTATTTCTGTCTCTAAGCAGGAATATGAGTTTTATTGCGTTCCGCTTTTATAGGTACATGGAACTCGTCAACTTATGCCTCAGAGTGGACGGGCGCAGTGGCAATACCCCTCAGATCTTTGCGGCATTGTAACTGTTATGGACAGGCGTGTAGCTTACTATCAGGCGCACGACTTGTTCGCCCCGTCACTTGATGTTGTAAAACACGCCTCGATGGCCCAACGGTTTGCACTATGGTGACTGAAGAGGTCCCGGTAGAAAAGGAAATAAACTTTTCTAAATTGGTTCTGTGAGGCGCCCCAGAGTGAATTTCGTTGCTCTGATACGAGTACCAGACCATTGTGTGGTTGTCGTCCATAATATTATTGTTTCTTTTTCACCTTGCTCCTTTCTTCGCTGTTTTCTCTTACCGTCAGAGCCTTTTTAATAAAGACGCTTTTTACGCGCCATTAAAAACCGTTTGCGTAAAACAGACCTTAAAACAACTAATTATGTACAGAGTTACTTGCCGTATTAAAATAATGTGAAAAGTCAACTTTGTTATGCAATTTCTAATTCCACATAATTGCTAACTGTACACTGTCGATGTATTGTTTTGATTTGACGTGACAGACATTGTCATTGTCTCAGCTTTGTTTTTGTTATGAAACAATAACACGTTTTAAAGCCATAACCTGTAAGTCTTCTTCGTAATATGTAACCGCTTTGTATATCTCTTTAGTGCTATTCAAACTGAAGTAAAGGTAGAGAGAACAGAAGTGTGAACAATTTTCCTTTAAAACATAAAATTTTAACTTTAAGATCTTACAATAAGGCTGCCTTTCCACCAGAGATATGCGACGTAGAGAGGCGGTGTGCGAGGAAAAATTCCACCAATAGTTTTACTTCATTTTCCTAGCTTAGCGCAGCTCTTTTCCACCGGAAAGGGTTAATGGAGCTAAGTACATACAAAATAGCTAGAGATATGTGCGAGGAATGTGTGCGAGAGATGTGTGCGAAGAATGTGTGCGAGGGATGCGGGCGAGGAATGTGTACAGAACGGTGTAGGAAACTAGAGCTACTGAAAGTATGACACTAATTGACACTGACATATCGCCATCGCTCACCACACCATACCGTACCCCGCCCGCGTGTAGCTGAAACGAGTTCGCAAAGCATCGTCGCACAGCTTTAGTGGAAAACGTCACACACCGTTTCACAGCCCCGCTCATTATCTCGTACATCTCTGGTGGAAAGGCAACCTTAATCGAGAAACGCGTCTCGCGACGCCCCGACGCCATCCAACAAGATACGGAAATAAAGTCGTAGTGCTGACCAGTGTTGTTGCTGATACACTTTTTTACACATCAATCAAGGGTACAGATGGTGGTATTTTTTTTACTTTAACATCAGCGGATTCTGACGCAGATGCTGATTTCATCTATTTAAAAACCAATCGTGAAAAATGTACAGGCTTTTATAGAATCTACTATTTAATATACTAATATAGATCGAGTTCGGAATTCCGAAATCCGTAAACGAACCGAGAGGTCCAGGATAGGAGATCGGATAGCGAGTTTAAAATGGAGCTGGGCGGGACATGTTGCGAGACGTTGTGAACACAGGTGGAGTAAGGCGCTAACCAAATGGTGGTCAAGAAACGCGAGACGTCCTGTAGCGAGATGGGTGAATAACATTGTCAAAGTTGCGGGCAGTATGTAGATGGGTGTGATTAGCACAGGATTGTGGTCGATGGCACAAACTATGGGAGGCCTACTCCCGACAGTGGGTGAAGTCCGGCTGTGGATGATGATTGAATCTACATGATACAGCTTTATTAGTCTTTATGCTTTTGCAAATTTAAAACGATCATTGATTAAAATATGTGCCAAAATAAAATATTGTAATTTTGTACAATGTTTTTTTTTCACAACAGTTTTTTAAACCTCGTAACTGGCGTTTTTTATTAACAGCGATCTTACAACAGAAGCGTACCCTTTGCCGCTTGAATGGACTTTATGAAGACGACTGTCAAGAACAACCAGTTAATTTCTGTTTCTCGTTTTAATATACTGTTTAATTTGTCGATAATAAAAGAGTTTCCTTATAGAACTCGTAGCTGATTTGCAAAAACGTTTAGTTCGTATATGAATTTTTATTTTTTTAGAATTTTTATTGCGTTATTTTATCCCTTGTAATATTAATGAACAAAATATAAGTTACAATTGTGACGAAAATGCTTTTACATTTAATTCTATAAGGAATCGAACTGTCCAAATAAGTTTTTTTTTTTCGATATCGATAGTTACGTCGATTTCAAGGTAAAATTCAGTAAAAGCGAAATCGACTAATGAGGATAATTAAAATTGTGTGTTTTGGTTGGAAAAGGATTATAGTGTCATTGTATGGTCAGACTTTTTTCAAAATGCAGTTTTATAATGAAGCACACATGCACACTTTACAAATTTTTGTTATCGTAGATGTTTTTCCCAAAGAAACAAAAATAGAAATAGAAAACTCCTTTTTGAAAAAAAATGGGACTTGTGAGTTTTACCTTTTAACCATCAATATATAATAATAATAATAATTTTACTAACACTCGGGAATTATTAATTTATGTCTCAGGGTGACGGGCATAGTGGCAGTGTCCCCCCAGTTCTTTGTGATTTAAAGCACTGAGTGGCACTGCAACTGTTATGGACAGACCTGTCGCTTACGACCAGTCGTTACTAGACGGCGGCATTGCTGCCGGAGGTACCTAGTTATTCATGAAAAAAAAAAACTAATCTAGACGAACTTTTTCACAATTTCTACTGCTACGAAATGGGCGCAGGAACATTTCAATTTAATACCACTCACCGTTCCTCCTTCTAGATAATCTAGAACATTCCATACTTTTGTTATTGATTTAACTTTCAATGCATACGGCTATGTATATAGCAATGCAACACATTTGTGTTCCTACATCATTATAAGACCTATTCAAGGCTAAAGTGAATCAGCATTTACTACACAAAAGCCAAACTCAGGCGAGACTAACCAAGCGTTTGTTAGATTAAGGTGATGTGAGACCCTTAATAGACGTTTTAACATAATTCGACCACACGGTTAATGAGTTGTTCGAAAGTTTAAAAAAAACTAATAATTTTTTTTTATTTATAAATGAAAGCAGAAGGTACCGACAATGAAGTATGGGGTCCGATCACAAAATACAACAAATTTTTCACTTTTTTTACTACGATCAGGTTCGGGAAAATCAGTCTTATTGGATTGTTATTAGAGATATTTCAACTATCATCTTCTTATCGTATCGATGGCATACACTGTAATGCTTGCCATCATGGTGAAAGAATTTGTCAATCAGCGTATGATACTCGCTGATTGTGGACGTACAGAAAACACGGCCTGCGGAGACGGTCCTTGCACTCCAAGAGAATGTTAGCTCATTTAATTTCTAAAAGTTTAAATTTGTTTAAATATCGTGTAATGTATTTAAGGCACACCTCACCGTGTCTTCACATGCTTCAAACTACGCAACCACGATACCATTTCGCCTTAAAACAATCTCTCGTAGAATTTTTGGGTCCTGAACAAACTTTTAAGTATTTACTTTTGCCAGGAATGGAAAAATATCAAAACATAAGAAGGATATGAAAGCTAACTCAGCATGTCGATATCACCAATGAACTAATGTTCGCCAACTTAATTTTTGGACCTGCTCTGTTTTTATTTTGCTTTTTGTGTTTTTTTTCACAACCTTGGTTTTTTTCGAATTTTGTTTTTTGTTTCTTTATTTTTTTCGAGGAGCATAATATTAGTAATAAATATAGCTGTTTACAAAAATAACAGCAAATTACCAAAAAATAAAGTTGGCGTTATTTGTTTAATAAAGGTATCGATGTAGTCGGTCAATACGTCTAGTCAGGTGTTCAAACTTTTCCTTATTAAAAATAATTGCTCAAAATTTCTAAAGATTGTTGTAGAATAAAAAAACTATACGTGAAATAAACTCAGTAGTTAACAAACACAATTTCATACGGTCTGTTCACGAAACTTTATGAATTTTTAACTAACACTAGGTTGGCACGACTCTTTGTTTAACTTTTACTCCGGTTCTTACCGGTTCATACTGGATATGCTGTTATTTTTCTTCCTCAATTTTACTAAAATCTGAAAGTTCAAGGAGGAGTAGATTTTGTAGCCTAATATTATTTTTATACTCGAGAACCACGGTCATATTTGCTGCAGAAGTACATTTAATATCAAGTATTGAATGAAGCATGAGTTTACAAACCCGATAGTCGCTATTAAATTTTAATTCTCTAAGGTTTATTATTGTCGTAAAAATATTTTGTTGTAAAACGTTGTTGTAAAAAAAAATTAGATATTTGGTAGCCACTATCAACTCTGGAAATTCATGATATACACAATACAGAACTTCCGACAGCTGTGCGACACTAAGGGAAAGTCAAATATAAATATGTAAATAAATTAGTATGCCACGAAGACTTCATTTTATTTAAAAAAAAAATTAAAAAATTTTTTTAGGGACGCCGTGTGTCTAGGTCTTGAGTCGGATTTAAAAGATTCTTGCCTCATCTGGGAATCGAACCAACCAAATGTAAAAAAATCTGTATTTTTCCTCTACCGATTGAAACTGTCAACTAAAAAGATTAATTCCTTATATGTAAGTAACATAACATCGTAAATTAATGGAACACCATGAAATTTAGCATTTAAGTTTAGAAAAATAAATTAGGTGTAATTTGTTTCACTGTAAACGCACGACGCAATTGCAAATTAGAAACTAATAAAAGGAAAACGATAACAAAAAGAATATGAAAACAAAAAGGAAAGTAAAAACAAATTAAATAACAAAATGAACAAACTTAAAAATCATTATCTCTAAATTAAAAAATAAAAGTAAAACAAATTTTGAAACATCAAAGAACAACGACTACAGTTCAATTAAGCGTACCAAAACTCTAATATCAGCTTATTTATGAAAAACATTATTATTTTTTAGCGGATGTTATCTTAAAAATTTAGAAGGTTTCGTTGTATCTAGATAGTGTCTTGTATATTTATATTTCGTGTTAGAGAGAAATATGGACAATTAACCTGTCTCGCTCGTCCAGTGTGTGTTAGTAAGCAGTAAGTGATCTGACTCGACTTGTGAACACCACCGTTGATGGACTTGCCACTCTTCCGCCGCCACCCCGTGCTTAATATCCTGCTTTGATATTGAATGTCCAACTAAGAGCGGTTACACACGGCGACCATAAGCAGCGATGCCAACGCGCGTTCGTGAAATGCGCGATCGCTGGTAAAAGTCGCAGTGTGTAATCACAACAATCAGTGTACATTAAAAGAAAAACAGTATACTTAATTTCGTTTTATTTTGTCATTTTATGAAGTAATTAATAATAGTTCGACAGTGGACTCTAGTAAAGTCTACGTCGTCGTCCACTCTGGCAGATACCCCCTCAGCCCTGTTCTTAACGTACTTCGAAAAAAAGGAAGAGGTTCTCTATTCAACAGTATTTTTTTGTATGTGTGTTACGCGATTAGTCTGGCATTTGTGAACTGATTTTGATGATGTTTGTTGGAAAGGAGTATTGGTCCCATTTAAATTTGAAGAAAATATTCCTGTCAAACTAGGGGATGATGAGGTTTCGCGCACATTCCGGTAACCGATTTCAATAAAACTTGCCAAATAGATGTAATTCCACGAACTTTTGAGGTATTTTTTTTAAAGTTGTAATTATGTGTTGTTTCGGTTGACTACCAACCAGCCATTCTTGTTGTTCATGATCTACATGTCGTTTACTACATTGTATCTATTCGTTTTCGAGATTAAAATTAGGGTCAGGAGGGGTTAATTAGAACACCGGGGGAAGAGGGACTTGAAGCCTTAACTCACAAGTAAACATATATAGTCTCTCAGTCGATAAAACAGACAAACAAATTAGTTTAAAAGATTTTAAAGAGATGTCGCTACGATGCTCCAAATCCTAATGCTCTGACGCTGAGACGGCCGCGCAAGTGTTCCGGGCGCGGATATTTTTGCAATGTACGAGTTTATACGAATCCTACCACACTGAAACTCGCGGCAGGTTTCTTTTATATATTTGTGCCAACATAAATTTTGTAATTTATAATTAATTGGCAGTTTTCTTTTCTAAATATGCCGTACGTACACGCTTCTGTAGGGCTAGCACGATAGGGCGCGACTAGCGCGAAAGCGACATAAAGTGCGATATACTGCTATTCTCGCAATGGATCTCGCGCTTTATGTCGCTCTCGTGCAAGTCGCGCCTCATCGTGCTAACCCTACTGGTTGGCATTCTGGTTCAAATCTAGATTTAATCAAATTAATGTGTTAGTCTATTTTGGATGTCGATTGTTGTGTTCGGCTAATAAAATAAAATAAAGACTTAAACAAAAGAATGTCTACATAGATAAAAAATATTGACTTCAACTTTGCGGAAACTGGTGCCGTAACGTACTTTTAAAGAACAGTTTACATACGTTTATGTTTATTTTTCAAACTATCAATTTTATAGCCAACATTATCTGAGCATGTTGAAATATTTGACGAAAATGAATCTTATCTTAATACGTTCAAGACATCAAATCTATTCTTTCCGGTTAAAAGAGAACCTGACACAACATGGGTTCCGCGTGACATTGAAATAAGGTTGATTTTTGTAAAGTGTACAGATATTTTGGTAGGTTAAAACGCTCATAATAATTTTGACACCGACCTTGTAACTTATTACTGCTTTGTATTTAATTAGTATGTCAGGTTTGGTTTTACCATAATTTTACATATCGGCTCATCCGAAGAACACAGACCTACGTAATTGTATAGCGAAAAGAGAATAAGTACGTTACGAGAATAGTTTTGTTATTAAAAGTAAGGCCTATCTATGTGAAGGTGGTTTGAGAATTTATTTATCTTATTTCGTTTCGGAAATATAAAATCGAACAACGGTCGATCTGTTATCCACAGCGAAGAAGAACGAACGAAATGTATTATGTCCTGAGAACAAGTAGTCTTGCACATAGATCTTTGTTCTACGGGTGAGTCGATATATTTTGTTTTGTCGTTATGAACATAATATATTGTATAAGTAAAAAGCCATACTTTTAGGACAGAATGCGCAACATAATTAACGAGGTGATAGTTATACTTGTTGACTTTTTGGAGTACAATCTTTTGTATGGGTTTTTTAATTTAAATTAATTTCATTTGTTACGTACAAACAACATACATACACTTCCATTGCCGCCTTCGGACTACGGACAGTTCTTATCGTAATTGGTATAAGAGTGAAAAGTAAATCTTAGGTGTAAAACCGAGCATCCTTGATTATAAGGGGTTTTCATAAAAATTTAGTATTTCAATAAAACACAAAATAATTGAAATACCGAGCTGAAATTTGTTCCAGATCCAAATGTAACATGTGTGCTGATAAATGTTACATTTAAAAATGGAATACAATCTCGTTCATATGATCACCGCGAGCACGTTTGCAGCGGTCACACAGCTGGTCAAACAATCGGTCTATTGAAGAGGAAGTTAGGTAATCAGTGATCTCGCGAAATGGTCCGGTCGAATGGCCACCTTGTTCATGCGATCTAACCCCGTTGGATTACTTTTTATGGGGTCACGTTAAGTCGTTGGTTTATGCCAAGAAGCCAACAACGTTAAATGAGCTCAGGAACAATATCAAACGCCAAATTGCCGACGTTTCGGCCAATATGAGTGGAAGAGTGGTGGAAAATTGGCTCCAAAGAATTGAACGCAGCAAACGGGTTCGCGGTGGTCATATGAAAGAGATCGAATTCCATTCTTAAATGTAAGATGTGTACTGGCACTTTTTCAGTTCGATATCTCAATTGTTTTGTGTTTTATTGAAATACAAAATTGTTATGTCCTTATTGAAAAACCCTATACTATAACAATTTCGATACTTTAGAATAGAAAGGGCGTAAAGACCAAACTCCAAAGTTTACATGACAAATATTGGTTCGTAATAATTGTCATAATTGACTGCCTCCGTGTTCGAACGGTTACCATGCCGGACTGCCACGCAGAGGTCCCAGGTTCGATTCCCGGGCCGGGAGAAATATTTGTATGACCTACATTTATTTCTCTCGTGAGTTTGGGTGTAATTTGTTGTTGTCTATGTGTGTGTCCATGGCACCCGCGACACAGGGTTTCCCTAGTGCGGGGCTATGTTGAGATGTGTGCGTTATTATTATTATTTATTATTATTAATGTTTACGTAAAAAAGTCCGTTGTAGCTACTAACAGAACTTTGACAAAAAAATTTCAACCCAACGTCATGAATAATTAATTTTGATAAAATCGACTTTTACGCCCTGTGTTCCCGAATTAACGATTTGTTCCTGTCAGTGGTATCTCTTTGCCTAGTATACTACCCGTAAGAAAAGATTTAGTAGCAGTAGACCTCCTTGTGAAAGTGTGTTCGTCTAGGTCGTAACCTTGCCAAATCTACCGCCGAGCATTAATGTCAGCATTACTGTGTTCCGAGTTTGAAAGGTTAGGGTGCTGGTGAAATTACATGCACACGGGACTTATCAGCTTATGCCTCAGAATGACGGGCAAGCTGGCAGTGCCCCTCAGATCTTTGCGATTTAAAGCCCTGAGTGGCACTGCAACTGTTACGGATAGGCGTGTAGCTTAACATCAGGCTCACGACCGTCCCATCACTTGATATTATATTTAAAAAAAATTATATTATGTGTCAGTTTTTTATCTTAGTTCCGCGCCATAATTTGGAGTAAATAATAAATAAATAATGAACAAAGAACTTTGTCTCGGTTTTCCTCAGCCTCTCTGTCCTTCGATCTTCCATTCTATTACGTTTCTAAGAAAACTGTTGAGACGTATTAGACACCTAAACATCTTTCCCTTGTGGTTCTTCATACTAATGAAGTCGTATTTTTAAACTATGAAACTACATTCACATGGGAGTTTATGTCTCCTGCAATTTTTATACTTAGGCGTGTTGCTTACCGCCAGTCATAGGCCTTGTTCGTACCGTCAATTAATAACATAAAAAAGAAAGATGAACGTGCATAGATATGATTATAATATGTCAATGTTTGCGCTTCAGAACGAGGCTCCTGGGTCGACGGGGGCGCCGCCACACCGACCGCCCAATTTACGGATACCCAACGGCTATCAGGCATCGGTATGTACCCAGAATGTTTGCGTAATATAACCACATAACCAACTGCTTCCAAATTGATTTCCAACAACACTGCAAATACAATATTGCAGTCGGCTTGCAGCTTTGTTAACAGTCGTTTGTTAAGGTAAACAAATTAGCTTTGAACCATCAATGAAGCTATATAAATAACTAATACCCCTATATAAATGTTCTGTAACTACCCCTTTATACGTCCCACTACCGGGCACGGCTCTTTAATGATGCGTACAGATCTAGCGAATGCGCCGCGAACGTTCTGCGGGTGTGCTGTACGCGCGCCCCACGCGTGCAATTAAATACATTTTAATATGTGTGGCCCGAGAGCGGTGCGCGAATGGCACGCGAATAGATCGCACTACATAATACACGTGTGCAGCTCGCGAGCTTTTCGCAAACAGGCGCATTTTGCGGCGAATTAGCCAGATCTGTACGCACCCTAAGGTAAAAATCTAAGTCAAAGGATCATTAAATAATGTAAATTTATAACTGCCCCCGTGGCCAAATGGTCATCATGCTGGACTGCCACGCAGAGATCGTGGATTGGATTTCTAGCACAGGAGAAATATTTTTATGGCCCACATCTATTTCTCTCGTGAGTTTGGGTGTAATTTGTGGTTGTCTATGTTTGTGTCCATGGCATCCGCTATACAGGGTTTCCTTAGTGCGGGGCTATGAGTGTGTTCGTTATTTATTAAGTAGGTAAAATAAATTTACACTTGAAAACGTCATTTTTAAGCTAATGCTCGTTCACTGTGTCACTTTCCTAACAAGAACGAGCTAGAAACTCAAAGGATTGCTATTTTCAAATAAACTTAAATGTGCTTTAAATCAAATTTGTGTGGAATCTAGAGTCATGTCGTCTTTCATTCATTTATTTATCTAATACGTAGTCTCAATTTTGTACTATGATTTTTCAATTAAAATATTTTCAATGTTGGTTTTAAACTTAGGAAATGAAATGTTATTGGAAAAACGTATATAGTTCCCCATAAAAGAATCGTTTACCTAAGTTAAACCAAAAAGTGGTACCATGAGTTTGGACTTAGTTCTAAGGTTAGTATTGTGGACTTCTTCTTACTTAATGAAATTATGTATATTTTTACGGGCATACAAAATATTTGAGCAAATGTTCTGTGATGCCCATTGATTATGTAACCAGAAATAGAGACGAAATAAGGGCCATATATTCCTGGTAACATATTAGCGATACAGTTCTTATAAATATCAACTCTCGTTTGCACTGAAATATAGAAAGGCCAACTACTGACCTGTGTGTACGTCTCCGTATATTCCAAAAAATATTCTGTATTTATTGTAATAAAGATAATACCTCTAAAATGCCGTGCTGTTCTATTCGGTGGTTTGGGAAAAACATCTAATTACAAAACAAACGGAATCACACTTCATCGGTAATTAAATATTAAATATGTAATTTTGCAATTTTCGTCCATTATAGCTAAGCTCAAGTTAACTGGTCGATTTGAAGTGAAACAGTTGACGACACCCATTGGACGACACTCGTTAATTGTTTCGAACTCGGGCTGGCCAATCGGAGCGCAGTTGTCACAGTAATGATATGGCAGAATAGTTTTCAAACAAATTAAATGACATTTCGTCTCTATTTCTGGTTATATACTCGATGGTGATGCCACTGTCATGATTCCAGTCTCCTTATAAAGGTGATTATGTAACTTGTTTCCATTAGAGCCGATTATGCAATGATTGCAGAAATAATTTTAATTAATGAATTTAATCATGTTGTGATTGATTAAATTAATTATTCACGAAACAAGCTATAAATCTACATGATTGAAATCTGTTTTATTTATTCAGTGTATCTACAATTAAAATTACGTTACACGCCTGAGTAACATTGGGTAGGGAGAATCGGTGTTATCAATTCGGACTTGACAACTAACATAGTATTATCTCAAAAATTGCGTTGTATTATATATATTTTATCTTTTATATTTTATTGTATTATATTTATATTTTATCTCAAAATTGCTTTATATTAATAATTTATCTCCAATGTTTCGCTATATTGACGTGTCATTCGTGTACGATTTAATTTCAACGTGACCGGACACATTGTCACTTTGAAACGAAATAGGTACTGTTAATATAAATTAAAGCCATTTTGAGATAATACTATGTTAGTTGTCATGTGCGAATTAGTACAGAAGACTTTTTTGTATCCCATGCTCGGCAGCGCATTGGCGATGTTAACATTGTTACATTAAAGTCGCAAATTGTCTGTTGTCGCTTGTAAGAGGTGCACCGTTAAATACTTTAGTATAAATTAATGGAATGCGGCGTGTGAGCCAATTGAACAAATTTAGATTTTATTTTGTTCCGAATAAAAGCAGCTTCATATAAATTGGTTCCCAGTAATTATACGAAATGAAACTATTTTGTTTTTCTTCGAATGTCAATCACGAATATTTATATTGTCGGTTTATTGCAAGAAGTCATTAATTGCCATATAATTTATGTGGCAATTAATGACTTCTTAAATAATACGCGATATAATATATATTATATACGCGATTTAGATGCGAAACAATATATATACATTTTATTGCTCACTTGCAAGAACAAAAACAGTAAACAACTTAAAACAATGTGGGCAAAGTTGGCCTTATCGCTAAGAGTAATCTCTTCTAGGCAACTTTTCAGGTAACGATAAAATTTTAAATGTATAAATAAAAAATCTTACATTATATTATTATTAAATTAATCAAATAAATATGTACATATATATTTGTGTATATAAATATACCTAAACAATCTCATACTACTAAAAAACTTTTCTATATTGTCTCGTGTATTGTCTTTTCTATCTGGGTGTTTGTGTAACCGTCGTTGTTTCCGATTTCCATAACAAGTGTTTTAGTTATTTACTTTGGGACCAGAACAACGTATGTGATGTTGTCTAATATTTATTATTTATTTATTATAATTTGTTTAATAGTTCTATTTCTTATGTGTGACGATTGAGATTAAGAATTTCCAATAAATAATTATTTCTATTTAAGCAAAGCTTAACTAACGTCAATAAGAGTTACTTACATTCTCGTGCAAAGGAACATGAAGTCTCGTAAAAATTAACACCGGTGTTAAAGAATAATATGAAGCAAAGTCAAGAAATTGGGCGCAATTACAAATGTTCACGAAAAAGGTTCTATAAGGAGAATGCCAGTAAATTGACTCCCAAAACTAAGATAAGGGTCTCTTTATTCCGGTATACAACTTCTTTGCTAAATATAAAAAAAAGATTTTTACTCTGTTGGCACATGACAACTTTTAAGAATGCTAAAATGTGGTCCCTTTCACCAGAAAAAGCTGTAAAACACTCCCTAATAAACCGTTATACGGGAGCAATTTACAGCCTTCTCTGGTGGCTGTTTATTTTTCCTTTTTTCCGTTTACAATTCTTTGTACCAACAAAGCTTCGTAAACAAAAACGTGCGCACCACCTTTTAGTAATGATTTTAAGACTCTAACATTGAGAGAAAGAGAAAGGAATATATTTTATACACTGGCAAAGTCATAAAGACATAAATCTTAAAGTCATAAACGAGCCAACAAATGTAATCGCTTCAGCTAAACAGGCATTTTGAATTCTCGCAACTGTTGTTTTTTTTTCCTCTTCAACAAATTTGCTCAATGCTTTTATGAGTGGACTCATTCGCTTTAGGTGTATAATTTATTCTTGTTTAACATTTCTTTATACATTTTCACTGTAAAATATACCCATTATACTTCAAAGCAGAGAGATGTCGATGTCTTTCTGGAATAGCGGCATATGTCAAAAACACCCTATTTATCAAGGCGATGGTTTTCTAAATTAACTGCCGCGGTTCTGTTGACGAATCGTACACCGGCCCGATGTTGTCACTTTATAATTTTGACCAATGGAAAACTGGGTATTTTATATATAGCAACTAGGGCTTTCAGTTTCGTTGCATTTCCGCGTCCCGGGAAAAAATATCGCGACTTGGTGCTATCTTGAAAATCCCTGGAGAAACGAAACTATTGAGACCTTTTTTTTATTTTTTTTTTTATTTAGTAATAAGTGCGCATTTAACCTCCACCTCACCTGAAGTGATAGTGAAGTCGATGATGGAGCGTGCACAACTAAATAATGCCCATTCACTCTTTATTTTATTTTTATTGGGGACTTAATCACGTATAACACATATTTTAATTACCTCTACGTTTCGGACGTATTGTAACGTCCATGGTCTCGAACGGACAGAACAGACGGGTGTCAGCGTCTTCTAGCCGTGCGAGTTTTTCTAACTACCCGCACTTGATCTTCATTATTTTTTGTGCACTAGGGTTCTCACTAGTCACTCAGTGCCTTCGAGACCATGGACGTTTCAACACGTCTGAAACGTCGAGGTAATTAAAATATGTTTTATACGTGATTAAGTCCCGAATTAAAAATCAAATAATATGATTGTGAAAATCGTGAAATTTTAAAACAAACTATTCGCTCTTGCCTTGAAAAGGCCCAAGTTATACCGTTCAGGGAACAAGTCTGTGAGCAGGGAATTCACCTGTACTGATTCCGAGTCACCTATATAAGCCTCTTGACACGCTTTTTCAAAGGTAGGTTTCCATACTTGACTATAGGCTTGAATTTATTTTTGCAGTCCTAACATGATATTTTAGAAATATTATAAATAAAATATATGAATACTAGACAACATACTAGTGCATCTCTAGCCAGGGCTGGTAGCTGTAAAGGTATCTCATTGGGCGAGGAAAAACTTTCATAGGTTTCTCATAGATGGCTACGGCTAAAAAGTCGTTGAAAACTAAATACAAAAGATCCGAAAAACAAGCACATAGAAAAATTCGTGAGGTTCGCTGGTTCGTTCGGTGGCTTAGTAGGCATAGCGTCTGGCACGGTTTGGTAGAGGACGTCGGCTCGAATCCAGCCAGATAGAAGGAATTTTTTCTAAGTGTTCGATCTTTGTATTAATAATTATATTAAAGCGTTTGTGTTGTGGAAATCGGAAACAACGACGGTACCACAAACACCCAGACCAGAGACAATATAAAAAGTTAGTTTTTACATTGATCCGGCCGGGGATCGAACCCGGTACCTCAAAGATGGCGACACCATGAAAACCAGTGCTCGAGCCACTCGACCACGGAGGTCGTCAATGTTGATATTTCAATTAAATAATTTTTTATAAAATGAAAAATTCTCTATGACAATTGTTTTTGTATATTATGTATATTGTTTTTTTCATTTAATAGTGGGTATGTAAGAAACAAGGACGCTGCGTTCTTCAATCGCCACAAATTATGGTTATAAGCTCCACTCTACAATGTTGAAATGTCCATGTAACCAGAATAAAAAATGACTATTGGTTTAGTAGATTTTCAATACTGTGTATATTAGTGACTTAAATCTGAGAACATCAGTCTCGAGTCTCGAAAATACCGAAAAATTGTCGAGACCCGAGATTTCCGAGATGAAAACCCTAAGGCATCATTATGAATATAGCTGTGTAATAAGCCATAAAATGAACTATTTCTATTTAAGCCATTCTACCGCCATTCTTGAAAAGTTGTTTATAATTCTTTTATTACGAAAATGAAATCTTATCTGTTGTTAAACACGTCTACTCTTTTATTAACCTACTTAAAAAATTAGGAGGTTTTCAATTCGTCTATCCTTTTTTTTGTATGTATGTTGCGCGATAACTCCGGCCTCTGTGAACCGAATTTGATGGTAGTTTTTTTTGTTAGAAATAATGTGTAGTGGTTCCATTTAAATTTGAAGAAAATATTTAACCTCTAAGGGTGGCGTGGCGAGCTAGGGGATGAATCCGGTTTCGCGCACTTTCCGGTAACCGATTTCAATTTAACTTGGCAAATAGATGTAATTCCACTAACTTTTGAAGTCGGTTTTTTTTTAGTACTCTGTACTGTGATTATTTACGTTGGTGAACTGTCTTTGAGTTATGATATTCGATGTTCTATGAGTGCTAGAGAAATTCAACAATCTAGGAAACTATATATCTACATTTATGTCTTTTTTGTGTTTCAGAACGCTATCGACAGCAGTCAACCTCCAATAGAAAGCATTTTAAAGGCAAGTATTATAACAAGACACATGGAAAGATTGTTGAAAACCATCTGATTGAAATTGAATACTCACGAAGCGTTTCGCTTCCACATTTATATTAGCTATGGGCGATATTTACCAAAAATAGTCATTGAAACAGTATATTCGATATTAGTTACTGATTAGTTATTTTATTTTTTATTTTATTTGAAATTTATTACAGCATCATGTAATACATTTCATTTTGAACATATATGAAACAAACACTAGTCAAAACAGTTTCCACTAATGTTAAAAATTAGTTACGTTGGATAGACAAATTTGTACATAGCTATAACAACAAATTAAAAATTGAATATCATGATATTCAATTCTGTTATGGGAAATCACTCCACTAGTTTGTTATATCGATCGAACACTAAGAAAAAATTCTACGATCGATTAATAATTATGTTAATATGTTAATACACTTCACTTTTTGAATTGTTTCAATGTGCGGTATTATAGTGAACCATTGGCATGTATCGTATTGATCGCAAGTAATATTGTATCGCTTACATTTTGGCATTCGAATTTCTGCGACTGGAATGCGAATTGCTACGTGACTTACAACTCTCTTTCCTTATGTGGTCTTCATTTTAGTTCTTCGTTTGTGTCTTCATTAATTAGAAATAAATTATAATATAGTCAAGTAACTGATTGATTGTATGGAAATGTCATGAAATCACAACTTAGCAATTTACTTTGGTCTATCGTAAATAGTTTTGTGTTATTTCTTCGTGAATTATTCATAAAAGATTACGGCTGATCATCGACTTTTGGTGCTGATTACACAATAAGTTTTGAACTTAGTTATACAACTAAGTTCAAAACTTATTAAAATACCTTTTGTAGAAAAGTTTTATTAAGACAGTAATACAGAAAAAGAAATGAAAGATAAAAATAAGAGTTACTTGTTTAGCTATAACATCGCGTACCTATTGTACTGAATCAATTAAAATTCTTAATTCTTTGTTCTTTGTTCTTAATTCTAATACAGGGGCGTTAAAAGAAAGCATTTTCAATTGGGGATCCATCTAACAGCTCGAAATGTCTTACATATATTTTTTATTATTGTATGAAGTGACGGGACAAACAAATCGCACGCCTGGTCATAAGGGATACGTCTGTCCATAACAGTTGCAGTGCCACTCAGAGCTTTCGATTACAAAAATCTAAGGGGCACTGGCACTGCGCCCAACACTCTGAGATAATTTGACTAGTCCTATGTGCTTGTAATTTCACCAGCACCCTTCTAAACTGGAACGCAGTAATACTGCTTGGCAGCAGAAATAGGTAAGGTGGCAATACTATCCTGGATGAACTCTTTCACAATTACTGCTACATAAAAGTTTATATTTTTCATTGAATATCATGATGTATTTACTAGCATGATATTCATATATTTTTCATGAGAAGAGACCACTAGTTGGTTTTTATTATGGTAATAAAGATCATACTACGCTGAATAGCCACTATGTGGCGAGATCGCTGATTCGAGTGCTCGAAGATTTTTTTTCTCTGCATTTTATACTTCTGTAGGTGAGAGGTAAAGAATCTTAACAGTTCGTTCAGAGAAATGCTGCCACCTTAACCTATTTCTGCCGCCAGGTAATAATGTGACCATTACTGCGTTTCCGTTTTGAAGAGAAGTTAAGTACGCACATGGGACTTGTCAACTTATGTCTCAAGGTGACGGGCGAAGTCGCAATACCCGTCAGATCTTTTGATTGAAAGCAATGCGTGGCACTGCAACTGTTATGAACAGGCATGTCGCTTACCACCAGGTGCACGACTTGTACGTCTCGTTACTTGGTATCTAAAAAACGAGCTCAGTTCATATTTTGGAATGTAAATATTTGTAACATTACTTTAGAATGCTAAAAATCAAGCAATAATAAAAGATATTAAGTCCTACCGTCGTTTGTTTTTTATTTAACATATTGCACTGCTGTGACAATAGTGTTATAACTCAAAATATCTGAAATTCAACATTATACCATTGTTGGACGTAAAATTTGATTCTCTACGCGTCAATAAAACCGTCGTTAGAATATTGTAAAAAGCAACTAAAAGATATCTACTTAATTCAAAATGAGACATGCTATATGTGAGTTTGTTCTGGCCAAAATAGTCCTTATTCAAAAATAGGAAATTATTTTTCCTCTTTTATTTTTAAATATGTATATTTGGCAAGTAGGAAATAACCTATCCATAAATGTACACAGATCTTTCACGGGAAGCGAGTAATTAGTTTTTCGTCGATTCTGAGGTAATACACTTTTTGGGTTAATACACTATTGAATGAGCAGTGCGATATTTTATTTGATTTACATGCTTAAATACGAGCCTAATTCTCTTTAAAACCTCTGTAGTAAACATTACTATTTAGCACTTCGGTACCTTTCACCTGTACAGACTTGCGTGCAATAAAGTGTGTTATCGTCGGGGATAGTGCAATTACGCGTAACTAGCATTTGATTATGAGTCTCCATTTCGGTAAATTTGTCGCCAAATCAAATCCGCGTAAGTGTCGTGGCAACCAAATTGGCGTGATTTAGGGTAATCTATTGTTATCAGTTCGTCGACAACATAAATTAATACTTACTGTGCAAAAATGAAAGACGTAGCCATTGAAATAACAAAGTAATAACGTTAAATCCGCGCTTTTTACCAATACCACATACGCGGACTTGCACTATCCCTGACTTTGTATTATTATCAAAACTACATTCGATTTTTTAACAACACAATTAAGAAATATAAAATAATTATTTTATTTTCTAGGAGATGAAGTCTCTACCCACACAGGTGTCGGCGATAGCACAAACTCCTCGCAAGGAACTGGAGAACAAATTCACATTTAATCCTTTAACTAATCGACTGGTAAGTCTTGCACTTCTTGTAGATTAAGCTCTTTTTAACTAACCTCAAAGACGCTTTCAAAAGTTCGCTGTACATTATTATATTACAATAAATTATATATTTAGTAATA